TCAGTAATGTAAAGGAAAATTTACAGATATATACACTAATATGGAAGATTCTCACAGATAAATGCTGAGTAAACATAGTAAGACATTTAAAAAAATACCTACTTTATGAGTCCTTTTCTATGAAATTTAGAAAAAGCAAATCTAATCAGTAATGACAGAAAGCAGGTCAGTGTTCTTTAGCTTTGAGGGAGATGGGGAATGGCTGCAAAGGGGGTTGAGAGAATTTTTTGGTGATGGAAATGTCCTATATCTTGGTTCTGGTGGTAATCATGAGAATATATACATTGGTTAAAATTCATTAAACTGTACATTTGGAATGGGTAAATTTTATGTAAATTATACCCCAATAAACTTGATTTAAAAATCCATCAGCACTCCAGTTTAAAGAAAGCAAAATGCTATCTCAAATAACAGTCCATTTCAAGTGAAATGAGATCCAATTTTAAGATGAGCAGGCATCTAATGAATTATCTGACATTTCTTTCCAGCAGTAAGTTACCCCCAATTACCACTGGGGTAAAGTATATTTCAATAGCTTGATAAAAATAACTCTCTTGAAGAAAATATACTTCTTACAAAAATACTAAGAGAAAAATCATACTACTTGTTTTTTAGACAGAATGACACACACATGCACACATACATTTTGCCTGTAATTTTCAAAATCCTGTGAGAGGGAAGAGGTTAGCTTTAATTATTTCTTGCTTGATATAATCACTGGAACATTTAACCTTTTCCCAACTTTGCAGGCTCTAGTCAGAGCACTCCAGGTGGATGGAATACTATTTAAAACACCATGGGAAGGAGAGAGTGTGAGAGCACATGCCATGGATGGGGAGCTACACTCCTGCAAAAACAGCTGGGGAGATGAAGCCTGAGAGGCAGACAAGGGCTTATCAACCACTGAAGGATTTCAAGCTGGAGAATCCATGACCAAATCTGCAGTTAGATGACTCTGGTGGCAGTTCAGGGGATTAATTGTGGGGTGGGATGAGAAGATTGGAAGGCAGAAGATTATAGACAGAAAACTACTACTTGATCACTGCTTGAAAAACAGGGAAGGTCGAGATTAAGGTCATGACAGCAAGGCTGACAAGAGATGTTTCTGATAGTATTTAGAAGGCAGAACTGATGGGACTTGGTCACTGATTGGATATGGCCTTAGGGGTGAGGGAGGATTTTAGGATGATTTCTGACTTGGGATTCCATCTGAATAATTGTACCATCCACCAAAATGGAGAATATAAGAGAAGACACAGGTTTGGGGAGAAAGAAAATTAGAAATAAATTCTCAATCTGTATAAAATGGGAGAAGAGCTAAAAATGGAACCTTAGGGGGAGCCTCAGCATATTCATGAGTACGCAGAAGAAGAGCATGAAAAAGTGATGAAAAGGTGTATCCCAGGTCACAGAAGGCAGTATGATGAGAATTCTGTGACAGAATTGGTCAGCAAACATCAAAGGCTGAAAAGTCATCAAGTAACATAAAAGAAATATATGCATCAAGTAGGAAGTCTCTGGTGACCTTTCCAAGAGCAGTTTCCGGAGAACACTAAAGATCTAAGTCAGACCTTGATACTGTGAGGAATGAATGGGAAGTGAAGAAGCAGAGAAAGTCAGTGTTCACTATTATTTCAGTGAGTCTATGAAAAGAAGGTGAATATTTGATTAGTAACAGAGGAGAAACAATTTTAAGGAGAGATGTTTTATGGTATGACTTGGGCTTGTATCTCCTGGCATAGCAAGATTCATGGGGGAGTGGGGAGGATGACAAAGTAAAGGGATCCATAGGAATGTAGCGGGATGGAGACTGGAACTAGTGGTGGAACTAGTCTTAGACAAGAGGAAGGGCTCCTTTTCCACTGAACTGAGAAGGAAAGATTTATGTTCATGATAAGATTTATGTTCAAGATAAGTGGTTGGTTGGGGGGGGTGGGTAGGTGGTGAGGAGCAAATAAACTTAATGAAGTGCCAATTAAAAGGTAAGACTCTCTGCTGAGAGGGCAGGAAGCTGATCATGTGAGTTTAAAGAGAGCTGTGAAAGTTGAAAAAGGTACTGATGAGAATGGAAAAGCTTTAATATCTCTGTAATATAATTAGGGACTCCTCTTTTGAAAGTTAATCTCAGTCTACATATGTGGAAATATGGGACAATGATTGCCAAGCAAAGAAATCTGATTACATTTTGCTTTATATAAAACAGTACTTCTTGGCTTCCATGTGGGAGGATGATACTTCTAGCTCCCTCCTGAGGAAGACATGCTCTTCAAATTTTTCTAACAGTAGTGATGGCCTTTTAATCCCCAAAACATTAGTGTGATGATTATAAGGATTTAGGATGGAAGTTCTAGCCTCGGAACAAAGTTTTCCTTCAACATTACACTGACCTATTCTAAAAGTCAAACTCCAAAAATCTTAGCATATTCGCACCAGCCACTGCCACGTTTACATGACAGCATTCTATTTTAAACTATGATCTATGTCAGCTTCTTAAATTTTAAGCTACACCTTGCATGTCAAATTTTCCAAAGGCTTGCATAACAAGCTTATGAAAAAAATCTCGTAAATGCTCCCTAGTGGAGAAACTGCACATGCAACTACCTGTTTATATATGCAGTAACTTGAATTATACATGAAAATTCCACATGGATGCCCAGAATCAGCACTGTGTTAATTCAAGAAGTATATTAAAATTTTTGGATGTATTTAGTAGCAGAACCTAAGAAAAATCTGTTCTTTAAACAGGGTTTTCTTTAAAAAAAAAAAAAAAAGATCTGTTAGTTGGAATCTACTGTTTCAAGGAATCGACTCTTTCTAGAAAAAATAATCTGTAATAAATATTGATCTTATAATACATTTTTTTTAATTCTGGGAAACTCCATATTTAGATCTTTTAAAGAGTCTGTAAGTCTGTAAAATTTCCCCTATCCCATAAAACTTAAGAGTCATATTGAAAATAAAATTTAAATGATAAATGTCAGTTGCAGAAGTTATCACCTTTTCATTTGAATGCTTGACTTCTATTGGATAATTCTCTTCCAAGAGACCTTCTTGGGAAAAGAGGTGACAGCCAACTCATTGCCTAATTGATTTAGGAACAGTGCCCAGGGAGACAGTCCAATTAAGTTTACAAGCTGGCAATTAGCAGGAAGCCCTCTAAATCCCTACACTGAGAGCCTGTTTACTTTAGTAAGAAGGCAAATGTGATAGAGATAGGAAGAGAAAGCTGTGCTTTTTGCAAAGCTGTTGTGAATAGGCCCACAAGGGAGGGCTGAAGAAAAGCTAGGTGTATGTGGGCAGACAGCCTTTTGTTTGACAGGTAACTGGGTAATTTAGACAGAGAGAGAGAGAGAGAGAGAGAGAGAGAGAGAGTGAGTGAGTGAGTAAGTGTGTGTGTGTGTGTGTGTGTGTTTTAACAGACATGCAAAACAGCTAACATCCACTTTAATGAGTGTTGTGTATGGAGACATACAACTGTTAAACATGTAGCTGGGCAAAGTAGAACTGGATTATCTTATAATGAATGAGATTCCAAACATTTTTTTCTTGGACAACATGAATATTACAGATTTAGTTGCATTTTTATTACAGGGAGAGAATATAGCCCTCATGTTATATCCATTATATCTTTCAGGTTAATCAAGTCATTGTCAATTAGATTTATTTCTTGGGTTCAATTTCAGAGGTAGATACACTACAAAAAAAAAGTAAACTGACAGCTATTTAACAAATACTTCATTCAATGTCTTTAAAAACTTAACTTCATATCACAGAGACAAATCATGTAATGGGTTTTAAAAATATATTTACTTTTCTGTGTTTTCAAGTTGTAATAATAGGCATTAATTAAAATCTAGTTTTTAAACTTAAGTGAGGTTCTCTCAAGAATGTTAAGTTATACAAAACTACCTAAAGAATATTATAGGGCATAGCTGGGAAGGCAAAACTGCAAAAGACAAATCATACTAATACAATTTTGTTTTAAAGTTTCCTGGTTGAGGGGCGCTTGCTGGCTCAGTCAGTAGAGCATAAGACACTTCATCTCCAGGTTGTAAGTTCAAGCCCCATGTTGGGTGTAGAGATTACTTAAAAATAAAATCTTTAAAATCTAAAAAAAAAATCCTGGTTAAAATGGGCTATATTAATACATGATTTTCATAATATTGAAAAATCTTTTTCAATATTTTTATCTAAAAGGAAACAAAAAAAATTATACAACTCTCTGCCCAAATTCTCCAAACATTTGCTTTTTCTTCTTTTAAAACATTGGTCTTACACATTCCAATCTGGGAAGCAATGGATACTTATTATCTAAAATAATTTTTTAATAGAAAAAGTATTTTATTCCTATAACACTTTTTTTTAAGATTTTTATTTATTTATTAGAGAGAGAGAGAGTGCATAAGAGAGCACAAGTCGTAGAGAGAGAGAAGCAGGCTGCCCACTGAGCAGGGAGCCTGATGCGGGGCTCGATCCTGGGACTCTGGGATCATGACCTGAGCCGAAGGCAGCCGCTTAACTGAATGAGCCACCTTAACTGAAGGTACCCCAACACAGAACTTTTTAATGGGCATAGTAAGTACTTTTAAAATATTCACATATGTATTTATTTTGGAAAGTATCAAATGTGGAAGTTTAAGCTTTTCATGCATCACAATAGGCAATTAGTGCAATTTCCAAATTCTTCACTATCTAATGTTCCTTAACATTTAGAAAATCACCCACAAAGCTTTCTTAAAGAAACTATATGAGGGCACCTGGCTGGCTCAGTTGGTAGAGCACGTGACTCTTGATCTCAGGGTCGTGAGTTTGAGCCCCAGGTTGGGCATAAAGATTACTTGAAAAAAAAAAAAAAGAAACTATATGAAATGTTTGAAAGGCAAACCTATTTATGGAATAACATAGAAAACCTCCATTTCTAGAATGGTTTTATTCTCTTAATCATAACGTCATCATCATAAACATTTTAATTTACTTACTCACCAACTTCCTTGACTTACCAAGTTTAAACAAAAGTGCACCCAAAGGTCCTCTGTCAAACCTGAGGAAGAGGAGATCATAGATGTCCCCACATTCTGGCTTCTGAGAAACCACCTGAGGAGCTATCCACTGCATTTGAACAAGACTGCTGGAAATGTCAAAGAATTTATTGAACTGCAGAATCTCCCTGGGTGAGCGGTCTTCAGCCAGGAGCTGGATGTTAATAGGGGATAAAGCCATATCAAAAATCTGAAGCTCCCCTTGGTTGCTGCCAACTAGTAGAATGGCGCCACTTGGGTGGCAGCTTATTAATGAAGGCAAAAGTTCAGCCTGGGCTAAGAGAGTTACTCTACGGTGAGTTTCATAAAGAATCACTGAAGAATCTTCACAGCCCAGAATCAGTTTGTCTTCAGTAACATTCCTGCAGCAGCTAATGGCCTTTGATCTTAGTGGTATTCTGGTTACTGATATACACTGGATTTTGTTCCGAACGTATTCGTAGATGCAGCTGTCAGCCATGGACTCTTTGTCTACACTGATGGAGCGCTCCACTGTCAACACCTGATAAGGCTGTTTGGTGCCAAAGCGAATATCCAGTGGATCCCACTCTGTGCGGACACAACTCAGAACCTGCAAGAAATTTATCAAGTATGTTCACACAGACCTTGGTTTTTCTTCAGCAGTCACACACAGGCCTGCATATTAATCCAGCATCCTACGGAAGAGCATCAATTATCACCCGAACCATCAGCAACATATAAGTATGTATGTGCTATATATATTTGTATATATTTCTCTTCACACAGAACATCTTTAAATATATATAGCACATATAGAACACAGCTCCAAAATTGTAAGATTTTAACATTAACACGTTGTTTTTGAAAGTCTGTAAATAACTTAAAGACAAATATGTTCAATATATAAAAATTAATAAAGTGGCCTTTTACTAAGCAGAATATCTAAAAACATCAGAAGTTTAATTTTTAAAAGAATGAATAAAAGACTTTAAATAATTTAGCTAATCTCATTCCCACCCACTAGCGTTCCCAGTTCTGAAATTTTTGGTAAATTACTTAACAGAATACTTCTAATTAGTAAGGTAGGGTAGGCAAAGGAAAAAACTAGAACCCTGTTAAAACAGTCTTCTGGAGGGGCACCTGGGTGGCTCAGCCGTTGAGTGTCTGCCTTCGGCTCGGGTCATGATCCCAGGGTCCTGGGATCGAGCCCCGCGTCGGGCTCCCTGCTCGGCGGGAGGCCTGCTTCTCCCTCTCCCACTCCCCCTGCTTATGTTCCTGCTCTCGCTAACTCTCTCTCTGTCAAATAAATATAAATCTTAAAAAAAAAAACAGTTTTCTGGAAATATTTTACTATCAGAAATGATCTGAAGGTTGTTAAGTACATAAATGACCAAGAGAAAGAAATGTTATATAATAATATAATGCACTGGTTTTAAAACAAAACAAACAAAAAAAATAAGACCTGATAAATAATATGGTTTGTCAATACTGATGAAGTAAAATTTTTAAATCGTCTTTATTGTAGAAAGAAAAGGCTACAAGGAACACCTGGGCAGAAGAATAAAGAAATAAAACAACAGGCCATTCACTTTATTTTTATGTAAATGTGGGAGGCCAAGAACCTGGAGAGTATTATTAAAGAGGAGATTGTCTAACACTTGGTCAAAAACTTTAAAATCAGATGTAGAAACATTAAAAAGCATGTTTCTACACATGTGACAAAATTTTAGAATTATATACATACACACACAAAAGTGTATGTAAAGTATGATGATATTCAACTAAGTTCTAAGTCAGAGTTAATAGTATTATACCAAGGTCATTTTTCTGGATTTGACAATGAACTACAGTAATGTAAGATACTATCATTGGAGCAAATTGGGGGAAAAGTACAGGGAATTTGCTTTTAGCAATTTGAGCAGTTTCTTGAGAGTCAAAACATTTCAAAATTTAAAGTTTCACTGTTTTTTTGTTTTTTAAAGCACAAATAGCTATGTTACATAGTGCTTGGGGATAGGAAGGAGGGACTGATGGAATTTTTTAAAAAAAATCCATCCTATACATCATCACCTAATTAAGCTCCCTCAAGTAAATGTTTTCATCCTTACTCCCCTGTTCAAACCCTTCTAATGAATTAAATTTGTATTCCCCTGCTTAGAATGCAAAATCCTGTAGGACCTATATCCAATTCCTTCCCTCCCTCTCACTCTCTTTCCTGCTCTTGATTTTCTTTTTTATCTAATAAATATATGAATATGAGCTATGTGCCAGGTACTGGTCCTAGGTCCTGGGGATACAACAGTAAGTCCTCAGTCCCAGAGAATGTGCACTCAAATGGCTTAACACAAGGCAACAATTCACAAGCAAACATACATAGGATGTTAGTGATCCTATATTTGTACTTCCTGAGTACTGAGAAAAATAAAACAAAGTAGGGGGAATGGAGAGTGACAGGAGTGAGAGGGGGTGATATACAGAAGTCGGGACAGGCCTCTCTGATAAGGGTGACCTGAAAGAAGTAAGGGTGAGCCACCCAGCTCTCAGGCAGAGGAAACAAACACCCTGAGGTGGTGCTCTCTGCCTGATCAAGGGAAAGAGCTAGAGAAGAAGGAGGAAGACAGTAGTGGGAATTGGGGAAGGGAACAGATTATGCAGTAGCTTGTAGGCCATTTTAGGAACTTTGGCTTTTTCCCTAAATGAGATGAGAAGCCATAAGCAAAGAAGGACATGATCTGACTTGCAAATTCTAGTGTTATCTTCTCCAGTCTCCCCTCATTACTCTAAATTCAAATTAAAATCTGCCCTGCATTTTTACAGCTCTATAACTTGTTAAATTAGTTTAATAAGGAGACCATTAGACTGAGGTGGCTCTAATGCCATGGTGCCTACATGAGCAAAACCAAAGTCAAAGCCTGTAAATGTCTCAAAGTGACAAAATCAAAATGCTAAGGATACCAACCACAAAGAGCCAACTAGGCTTTAAGCTATAGCCAATCAAATAATTTCCTTTCGTCGCTTCTGCACTTTCTCATATCCCCTAGTTCCTATCAGCAGAGTTCCTCACCACTTCCAGTTTGTCACTGCCCAGCTGGAATAAATTTCTGCTCAAATAAGCTCTTAAAATTTTAAATATGCCTCAGTTTATCTTTAACAACTTCACTCATGTCCTTTGCCTGCAATCCACCCATAGACTCAGTTTTTTCTATCATCATATCTACCCTTGAGGAACTAGAACAAATGCTATTTCAGTTTCTGGATTCCTTCCAGCTGGGTGGCATCCTTTCTCTCTTTGATCACACCTCCTCCGTATCACCTTCCCCACTCTAACTTAGCCAATGACTTGCTTGGGACATTCAGCCTTCTATTTACTTTTAATATTTGGACAAATGTCCTCCTTTTCACTGTAAGCTTAAAAAAAAAACCATCTCACCATCTCATCTATTTTACACTTCTTTTATATGTCTTATGTAGCAGCTAGCCAAAAGCTATGCAGGTAGTGGGTATGCAATAAACTTTCAAAACTATGAATTAAATACACACACATAATATAATGCTGGTTGAAATACCATACTTCCAGAAGGCTTAAAGTTTTGTAAAGGAATCCTCTGAGCAGAAAACTGAGAGGCCAACTGACTCTGAATACGGCCTGTACTCACATAGAAACAGCCTAAAAGGAAGAGTCTAGCCAGATGGCAGTCCTGACATACTACAAATTAGGCTCAAAGTCCAGGGAGAAGGGTAAAGGCTTCTTGATTTCCAAGAGTTTATGTCAACCCAATAGGCTCTGTAGTTTCACCAAGAGAAAGGGTAAGTATGACACTGCAATTTATAAGAATTCTATATATATGATTATTCAGATAACCAAAATATATTTCTCATATATATTTAGTCTTCTTCCACAGTTCCTGGCTCACAGGTCCCAAAACTCTTGGAATTTCCTAAGCGCAGAGAGTGAAAAAGGTGTCTTTTGTTATGTTAATGAAGTGACTTCTGTGAAGTACCTAAGGGTGAGGGTTGGTTGTCAAGGGTTGTCAACCATGTGTTCAGAGGGTTGGAACTTTCAGTCCCACTCCCAGACCTCCCAGAGGGAAGAGGGGCTGGAGGATGAGTCAATCACCAATGGCCAATGATTTAATTAATCATGTCTATGTAGTGAAGCCAAAAGGGAGGGGTTTGGAGAGTTTCAAGGTTGGTGAATATATGGAGATACCAGGAGAGTGGAAGCCTGGAGAGGGCATGGAGGCTCTGAGCCCTTTCCCCATACTTTGCTCTATACATCTCTTCCATCTAGCTGTTCCTGAGTTATGTCCTCTTATAATAAACTGGTGATCTAATAAATAAAATGTTTCCCTGAGTTCTCTGAGCTGCTCTGGCAAATAAATCAAACCCAAAGAGGGGTCAGAGGAATCTCTGATTTACAGCCAGCCAGTCAGAAGTCCAGGTTGTTACATCAGATTGGCATCTGAAGTCCAAGGAGGAGGTCGTGGGAACCTCTAGTCTGTAGCTGGTAGGTCAGAAGCACAGGTATCAGGGCTTGTGACTGGCATTTGAAGTGGGGGATGGGGTGCAGTCTTCTAGGACCGAGGCCCTTAACCTGTGGGATCTCCAGGCAGATAGTATCAGAATTACGATACCGTGCTGGTGTCCAAGAATTGCTTGGTGGTATGGGGGGAATCCCCCCCACACCTCACCATTAGAATTGGTACCAGAAACAATTCCACTGTCAATCCCAGATAACTCTAAAATGCTAGCCTAGGTCAGAGGATCACCTGCTATCTTCCCCACTAAATAGCTCAAGTTCATTTAAGAAAAGAAAATGTCTTACATAGCATAAAGATACCATAAAAGTTTAAAGATTAAGAGAGAGTCCAGGATGGCAGAGGAGTAGGAGATCTTAGTTTCATCTGGTCCCAGGAATTCAGCTAGATAGCTATCAAATCATTCTGAACACCTGCAAATTCAACCAGAGATCAAAGAAAAGAATAGCTGCAACTCTACAAATAGAAAAGTGACCACTTTCTGCAAGATAGAAGGTGAGGGGAAGTGAATCCAACGTGATATATGAGAAGATAAACCATGGGGGTTGGAAGCCTCTGTTAGCCGGCTACCGGAAAGTAATAGAACAGCCGAGCACAAAATCGGAACTTTTAGAAGTCCGCTCCAGTGAGGGACATCCCTGCCTGAAAGGTGCTCAGGTGGCAAAGCGAGGTGGAATCCTAGATGGGACAGTGTGGTCCCAGGATCCCCGGGGTCACAGGAAGACCAGGGGTGCCTGAGTGCGGCAGAGTTCCCAGGCATTGGAGCAGGGAAGCTGGCTGTAATCAGCGAGTCCAGGAGTGGGCTCTCAGCTCGGGATCACCATAAACCCCGAACCACAGCACCACCAGGGGACTGTTCTCTGAGCAGGGGCCCAACAAGCAGAACTGGAGAGATCCCCCTTCTTCCTCTGGGGAGGAACAGTGCGGGTGTGCACCACAGGAGTCTGCAGGGTTTGAAGACTCCAAATGGGGTCATGTGCCAGAGAGAGAAATGCTCGGTCACAGGTTAGGAGAGCAGAGAGAGCAGATGGAGACCAGGGAGACAGGAGTGATGGACATCTTTTCCCTGAAG